GAAGCAGCCTGAAATCGCGCTCTACGGAGCAACCTTCTCAAGTGTGTGTGGCTCTGAGTGGTTTCATTAAATCATCAAATCAAATCTGTGCTTTCAAGCCACTTTGCTTTCCTTTTTTCTGCCTCCAATCATGTCACAGGACAGCTTCATCGCCCATGTCACTCCAACTCCGACGCCAAGGCGCAAGAAGGTGCAGCACAGCTTTGTGCCTTGAAGCTGCGGCGCCAGCTCGCGTGCAGCAGGCGACCGCGGCGACCGCGGGGCCACACAATGAACTGCTAATCATCTCCGGAATGATGTCTGGATGTTGAGTCGCGCAAATGGTACATTGAACGCTTTCGAGTGTGTCGAGTCCACCAGAGTGGTCAATGAGTGACGAGAACGACTACGTCACGCTGACATTTAGCACTCGTCCGGGTCTAGAGACTCGTTTTTTGCCTGCAAACCGCAGGTCGTTTTTGCGGCAGCTCTTGGTTGAGCGCGAGCTCACCATAGCAGAGGCTGAAGAAGACGTGAAAGTTTAAGTCATAAAATGTGTTTTTTTTTTGAGTTTTTGAGTCTTTAGCCTTCTCTCAAGAAGTGTAGAGAGCCGCTGCGGCTCGCTTTGAGGGTGAAGTGTAGAGCATCCACCGACCTCCACAGTTGCTCCTAGTAGTATGGCAAGGAACCCCTAGTAGCTTTCTTGCTCCTAGTAGCGATGCCAGGAGCCCCTAGTAGCTTCCTTGGTCCTAGTAGCGATGCCAATCATTCACCAATTCCTACAAGGAAGGCCTCCTAGTTTGCTTCTAGGTTGGAGGCCACTTCTAGGTTGCCGGCCATCGCTAGTGGAAACAAAAAAAAAGGAAAAGGAAGAAAGGTCTAATACTAGTACTACTACTAACTGCTACAAGCTACCTGGCTACTACCTACTTCACCTCTACCCTAGCCCCCAAAAAAAGGAAAAGCAAACATGTTTGTATAAGGGTTGACCGGCAGGTTCGCAGCTTGGCAGCGCAGGGTGATGCCACTGGCCTCGAGGTGCGCATGTAAAGATTCTTGTTTCTACTTTGTATAAATATATAGAATGTGTGTATTTAATGTGCGCATGTTCATTGTGGAGAGGGGAAGGAGAAAAGAAAGGTCTTCTGCGTCCAGTAGATAAGAGGGAGGTTCCAAGACCCCACGCCTCTTGTCAGTCCATTGTCAAGTAGAAACTGCAGGTAAATCAAATGGAAAGGGGAATTAAAGGGAGCGGGCTGTTTAAAATCATCAGATGTTTCGCCATGGGCGGTTTCACATGTTACACGTAAAGGACCTAAGGTCTCCGCTAGGTCCTTGATCTTATTAAGATCCATTTTGAAAATAAACTCGGAACCAAATGAATAGCGCGAGGGCTAGCCGTTTGCGTCCACCCAGGACTAGCTTCTTCAGCTTGGTAGCTTGGCGTTCCCTTATTAGCTCACTTGCTCGCCTACCTCACAGCCTACCCCCCCGGTGCTTAAAAAAGTATCTCGTTAGAGGACTAGTAGTAACAAGAAGCTACTAGGAACAAGTGCATCGCTTCTAGTAACAAGTGCCTTACTAGCATTATGTTGGCCAGTTAGCCAACTTCTATGGGAGTATGGGAAACAAAAAAAAGTGCAGAAAAAGTGCGTGCATGAAAAGCAAACACAAAATAGCAACGTTCAAAAAAAGCAACAAAAGAGCAAAAAAAAAGAGCAAAAAATAAGCAAACAAAAAAGCAAAAAAGAGCCTTTTTTTGGAGGCAAATTGGGCACGCTTTTTTTGCACTTTTTTTGTGCACTTTTTTTTGCACTTGTTTTGCTCTTTTTTTGCACTTTTTTCGCACTCTTTTTGCTTTTTTTTTTTTTCGAGGAAAGTGCAAAGTTTTGGCATTTCCAGAGCCACAAAAAAAGTGGGGAAAAAGTGGGAGAACAAATTCCAGAGCCACAAAAAAAGTGGGGGAAAAGTGGGTGATAAATTGTTTTTTGTTTGTTTGCTTTTTTTCCCCTTTTTTGTTTGCTTTTTTCCCTTTTTTGTTTGCTTTTTTTTTGCACTTTTGTTTGCTTTTTTTCTGCTTTGTTTCTGCACTTCTTATCCAGACAGTTTTTCTTTCTGCTTTTTGGTTTTGCTATTTTGTTGCTTCGTTTCTGCACTTTTTCTTTTTCAATGATTCTTAGAACTTGGCTGTAAGTGGACAACATAATACTAGCAGTAACAAGAAGCTACTAGTAACAAGTGCATCGCTTCTAGTAACAAGTGCCTTACTAGTAGTAACAAGAAGCTACTAGTAACAAGTGCATCGCTTCTAGTAACAAGTGCCTTACTAGTAGTAACAAGAAGCTACTAGTAACAAGTGCATCGCTTCTAGTAACAAGTGCCTACTAACAGAAGCTACTAGGAACAAGTGCATCGCTTCTAGTAACAAGTGCCTTACTAGTAGTAACAATGTTTGCTATTAGTAACAAGTATCTCGTTAGAGGACTGAAATAGAATGTGTGTTTTTGATAGAATGTTACTACGTTCTAATTCTAATTTAATTTACTTTAAATTAATTCTAATTTAACTTAATTCTAATTTAATCTAAATTAATTCTAATTTAGCAATTTAATTCAATTCTATTTTAATTTAGATTAATTCTAAGTTAATTTGATTCTAATTCTAATTTAGTTAATTTAATTTAATTTACTTCTAATTTGTTTAATTTTAGATCTATTCTAATTCTAATTTGTTACTAGTAGGGCACTTGTTACTAGTAGCGAACCTTGTTTCGACTGAAACAGTCCTTCATGCCCTTCACTTCGTCGGAGGCGCTCTCAGAGGCAGATGGTGGCGCTTTCTCGCCCGGATCCATAGCTTTGACACTGAGCTCCAAGGACGGGGAGAACTTGAAGTGACAAATTGGTAACTCATGCATTCTTGCTATTAGTAACAAGAAGCTACTAGTAACAAGGGCATCGCTTCTAGTAACAAAGGGCAGCATTACTACTAGGAGCATTCTTGCTAGTAACAAGAAGCTACTAGGAGCAAAGGGCATCGCTACTAGGAGCAAGGACGCTACTAGGGGCTCCTGGCATCTCTACTAGGAGCATTCATGCAAGGGTGCAACAGATGAAGCTTGATGAACTCATCCGATAAATTTGTCATTTTGCCGACGGACCATGTCGCAGGACGAAGGTGAACGGCCTCCCTTCGCATTGGTGGCCAATGCATCCGAGAGCTCCTTGGAGTTGCTTTTGCGCCAGCAGGAAGCTGGGAGCCTCATGGAGGCAAGCGACAGCAAGCGACACGACGTGACACACGTCTTGTTTTGTGGAGAGATTGGGTGTCGGCTTGTTCTTCAAAGCATTTTTGCTCAGTCTTTCTGGGAGATTTCGAGGAGATTCACTGTTGCAGGCACGTAGTATATTCGCAGTCTTGCCTTGAATAAGAAGAACCTTAGGTTGAAGGATGAAAAGCACGTTGCTAGACGGTATGATGAAGTTCTCCTCAATAAAAAGAATCTGGAAGAACGCCTTTTAGTGGGTATCGAGGACAAGTTCTTTGACGATTTTGGTCATTTGGACAAGGAAGACAAGCTCAAAGTATTGAAACAAGGTGTTCGTTTCCTGGAAGCTCTCAGGATAGCTTGGGCCGTGGTCCTTCCAAATCTCCCGCGAAAGATTCTTCAGCAGATCATGAGCTTGCATCAGATCATTTGTCTCGCCAGGATCTTGCTGGGCAGCCAACTGTGCAGGAGATCCTGGCCACCAACCAGCAGGAGACAAAAGAAAGTTTTGTTTTTGTGGGGGGGAGTAGGCCTTAGAGGTGAGGTGGTGAAGTAGTAGCTTAAGTAGCTACTACCTAGGAAGCTCCTACCTTGGACGCCGGATAGCTCACGCTTCTTCAAGGAAGCTCCCCCGCGGCCCCAAAGGCGGCCGAGGAAGTTTCCTTGAAGAAGCGCTCGCACCAATGATTTGGGAAACTTTTGTGTTTTTGGTGGATTTGGTGGATGCGCACGTGTGCACGTGTCCACGTGCTTCTGCGTTTGTGTCATTTGTTTTTGTCTTTTCGTGTGAGAACCGCTCGCCCAGTCTCCACTGCCCCTGTGGTTCTGGGCCTGCTAGGAGGGCCTGAATGAGGATGATGAGGCCAAGCGTCAAGCAGTTCGCACAGTTGTGGCGGTTCCATTTGCATCTCAGATTTCAAACCGAAAAAGTGTGAAGGCAGCGGAACAAGAAGCTACTAGGAACAAGAGCCTTACTAGTAGTAACAAAGAAGCTACTAGGAACAAGTGCATCGCTTCTAGTAACAAGTGCCTTACTAGCAGTAACAAGAAGCTACTAGTAACAAGCGCATCGCTTCTAGTAACAAGTGCCTTACTAGCAGTAACAAGAAGCTA